AAGGGCGCTCATCATCGCTAAAGGAACTGAAGGTCAGTTCTATTCCTTGGATAAACGTACAATAGGTGCCTCCTGTGTGCTGAGTGCTAGACTGAAGCCAGACACACCCAGATAAATAAAACCAGATTATTAATGGCATGGAGATGGGTATTGAATGGGAAACAGGCAGGCTGGCTACTAGAAATAGGGCAGGCTCTTTGGATTCCACACATACTTTTGAACATCTATTTTTAGGTCCACTGAGTTTTTTTTCCCAAGCGTAGTAACTTCCTGTTAAAGTTTTTGAGCAAATGACCGCGACAGCCAAATCAGGGCCCTAGGACTGGCACCAAAAGGACTAGTTAGGACCTGAGCAGTAAGGAGTGATGAGGGCCTGAGCAGGGGAAGGAAGAAGAAATGATGGTGAAAGAGCTACTTTACCCACAATTGTAGATTTTATTGTTTATTCCCTGTAAAAGAAGTCAGGCCTTGGCCACTACATTTCATTTTTCTTTTCTTTTTTTTTTTTATTTTTGAGATGGAGTCTCACTCTATTGCCTGGCTGGAGTGCGGTGGCGCCATCTCGGCCCACTGCATCCTCTGCCTTCTGGGTTCAAGCGATTATCCTGCCTCAGCCTCCTGAGTAGCTGGGACTACAGGCATGTACCATCAAGCCCAGCTAATTTTTTTTGTAATTTTAGTAGAGATGGGGTTTCGCCATGTTGGCGAGGATGGTCTCGATCTTTTCACCTCGTGATCCACCCACCTTGGCCTCCCAAAGTACTGGGATTACAGGTGTGAGCCACTGTGCCTGGCCTAAATTTCATTTTTCTTAAGAAGCATTCTTTTATAATTGTTTTGTAAGATTTAGGGGATTGCCTTGCAATTTGTGCTTGTGGAAGAATTTTAGGCAAATGTTTTCAAATGGTACTCACGGATTGATAAATGGCTTCGAAAAGTCTATTGAGTAGGCCTTTATCTGGAAATGCCTTCCTTGGCCTTCACAGTCACCCTCTCCTAGAAACCAGAATTTATCCCTTTAAGTTGGTCACAATCACTAGCCTTCTTCCTCAGCATTTCCTTGTCAATGATAGTTCACACATTTCCTTCCCCGGAGACCTTCGGACATAAATAGACACTAACCCAGCTTGGGTAGCATTGTGAACAGCCCTTTCAGGAAGTAAGAAAACAGCTGGTCTCTGAGTCCATGAAGGAAGCAGATTTAAGGTTTGATATAAATGACAGCTGTCTAATTCTAGAAGATTTCCTTAATTGGGCCTGAAAAAGAGCAGATGGGGCAGCTATGTGTGGAATGATTTGGGTATATTTTTGACTAGAAGCAGAGAAAAGATTTATGACTTTTTTTTTTTAAAGTTTATTTTTTGGATTGTGAAAGCAGGACTTGTCATTGTTTCAAACTCAGAAAATAAAAAGTGACACCTAGATAATATCACTCATAATCCCACTGCCCAGTCATAGCCACTACTAGTGATTTGATGTATTTCCTTTAGTTGTTTCCAAATAATATATCTGGTGTATGCACAGTTTTGCATCTTGATTTCTTTCATTTAGCATCTTCCTGCATTATTAAATATCCCCCCAAAGCTCATTTTTAATGGCTGTATAATAATATCTTATAAGCATATACCATAATTACTATTCTGTGTCTTTATCTATGTCAATACAGATTGTTTACAATTTCTCAACTCACAAATAAGAGCTGAAAAAAGCTTTGCATATAAATATTTTCCTACATTCCTGATTGCTTCTTTGGAAGATTCCTTTAGAGCAGCTCTTGTCATGATGTGTGAGCCACCTCCACCATAACCAGGCATTAATGCATGTCAGGGCTCCAACCCAGACCTGCAGTATCTGAATCTCTGCAGTCACGGCCCAAAAATCTGCCTTGAAAAAAAGAGCTCCTGAGATTTATAGGCACAGTAAAGGTTGAGTTTCATAACTCTAGGAGGAATTACTGGATAGAAGTGTGTGCATTTATTTATTTATTTATTTATTTATTTAGAGAGGGAGTTTCCTTCTTGTTGCCTAGGCTGAGATTGTTGCATGGCATAACCTCAGCTCACTGCAACCTCCGCCTCCTGGGTTCAAGCAATTCTCCTGCCTCAGCATCCCCAGTAGCTGGGATCAGAGGCTCCCACAACCACGCCTGGCTATTTTTTTGTATTTTTGGCAGAGATGGGTTTCGCCATGTTGGTTAGGCTGGTCTTGAACTCCTGACCTCAGGTGATCTACCCTCCTCGGCCTCCCAAAGTATTGGGATTATAAGAATGAGCCACCACACCTGGCCTGGATTTTTAAATTTAAAGTTTTGACATATAGTGTCAGATCATTTTCCTAAAGTCTTATGTATATTATACTCCCACCAGCAATGTATGAGGGTGCTCAACCCATCAAACTCTTGCAAAACAACTTTGTTTGCTAGTTTGATGGGTGAAAAGTGATGGCTTCGTGGAGTTAAAAAAAATCAATGCATAATAATTGTACATATCTATGGAGCATGAGATATTTTGATATATGCATATAATATATAACATCAAATCAGGGTAATTGGGGTACCCATCATCTCAAATATTTATCATTTCCTTATGTTGAGAACATCCCAAATCTCTTCTAGCTATTTTGAAATACATAATAAATTATTGATAACTATAGTCATCCTACTGTGCTCTTGAACACTAAACCATATTCCTTCTAACTGTATTTTTGTACCCATTAACCAGCCTCTCTTCATCCCTTCCTTCCTGCTACCCTTCCCAGGCTCTGGTATCTATCTTCACTGCCTCCATGAGATCAGCTTTTTAATCTCCTACATATAAATGAGAACATGTGATATTTATTTTTCTGTACCTGACTTATTTTCATACACTTATTACATTCCTCTTAATGTAATGTCCTCCAGGTCATCCATGTTGCTGCAAATAACAGGGTTTCATTCTTTTTATGGCTGAATAATATTCCATTGTGTAGATATACCACATTTTATCCATTCGTCTACTGATGGACACTTGATTCCATATCTTGGCTACTGTGAATAGTGCTATGAAAAACATGGGAGTGCTAGTAAGAAAAATACAAACAATAACAAATGCTGGTGAACATGTGGAAAAAGGAGAATGTTAGTCCATTTTTGTTGGTAATGTAAATTAGTACAACTATAGTGGAAAACTGTATGGATGCTCCTCAAAAAACAAAAACTAGAACTACCACATAATCTAGCAATCTCACTGCTGAGTGTATACATAAAAGAAAGGAAAGCCATATATTGAAGAGAATTTCTACATGTCCATGTTAATTGCAGCACAACTCACAACAACCAAGATGTGGAATCAAGCTGAGTATTTGTCAATGGAGGATAGGATAAAGAAAATGTGGCATATACACACTAGGGAATACTACTTAGCCATAAAATAGAATGAAACAATATCTTTTGCAGCAACATGGATGCAACTGGAGGCCATTATCCTAAGTGAAATAACTCAGAAACAGAAAGTCAAGTTCCTCATGTTCTCATGTGTAAGTGGGAGCTAAACTGTGAGTGCACATGCACATACAGAGTAGAATAGTAGACACGGGGGACTACAAAATGTGGAAGGGCCCGGGACAGGGGAGGGTTGGAAAACTTAGGTCATTTTGAATGACCGAATTGAATCACCCAGACTTCCTCACTGCATAATACATGCATGTATGAAACCTATACTTGTGGCCAGGCATGGTGGCTAACACCTGTAATTCCAGCATTCTGGGAGGTCAAGGTGGGTGGATCACCTGAGGTCAGGAGTTTGAGACCAGCCTGGCCAACATGGTGAAACCTCGTCTCCACTAAAAATACAAAACTTAGCAGGCATGGTGGCACTTGCCTGTAATTCCAGCTATTCGGGAGGCTGAGGCAGGAGAATGCTTGAACCTGGGAGGCAGAGGTTGCAGTGACCTGAGTGACCTAAGATCACACCACTGCACTCCAGCCTGGGTGACAGGGTGAGATTCTTTCTTAAACACTAAAAACAAGAAACTTATACTTGTATCCCTTAAATATACAAAAATAAAAAACAAGCTTAAAAAAAGACTGGGAATAATGGAAGGTGGCAAGTCTTTGACTAAGCCACCTACATTTGTGTAGACTTGCGGAAATCTCCAGGTGCCAACTTGAGCTTTGGTGAGAATATGTCTTCTTTCATTTTTGTAACTGTAAAACTAAAGCACCTTGCAAACTTCTTGGAAGGCAACCATCCATCTTTGTTGTATTTTGCATTGTGTATCTTGTTTTTTAGGTGCTAGAAAGAGATGAGAGGTAGAGAAGAATGTGAGCAGGGCTTTGAGCACTGGCTGCTGAGGGGCCTATGTGGTGACTGAGGCTGTTATTTTCAAACCAGCTCCTGGGCTCAAAGGCTGCCAGTACTGCTTATGAGCCACGGCCTGTTTCTGGTTGAGAACCTGTAAACTCAATATGCCATCTTCAGATGTTAATCCAAATTGCCTTTTGGGAGTCCAGTTTGCTCTTTGGTAAGTTTGGAGGGGAAGCCAATTTTTCCAGGGACTCATAAGAACCCAGTTTAAGGTGACTTTAGAGGCTTCAAATTGCTTTAAAAGCATACATGAAGGCTACACACCCCGTTACCCTATGATCCTCTCCCTCTCTCATTCTCCTACCTTCCCCCACAACTTATGAAGTTGTTAGGATATGGAAAATGTGTCTAGTGACATCTCAAATATAGAAGTCATCTGTCCTGGAGCTCAAAAGTTGCCTGTTAACTGCTGCTGGCCAAAAAAATCTTTACTGGGGTTGTTTTTTTTTTTTCTTTTGAAAGAATGATCATAAATTAACGGACTCATGTAAAGATAAAAACATCTGAAATATATTTGCCACCAAAGACAGGCAGCCCTTGTCCTTCAAGGGAATTGAGTGTTGGAAATAAAGATTTGTAAAGTCAGAAGAGAACTGAAAGTCCATGGGTAGCCAGGACTCAACAAAATGCAACGCGTTTTCCATTTCTGCAGGTTGGAAGACAGCAATGCTGCATTTCTTTGTTCTTTGTGGCCCCTCATTGCCTTGTTAATCTGGACGCACACCAGCCTTCAGGAACTGGTGGGGAGCTCATTGGTCTGTAAGTCCTTCTTAACACAAACGGACAATATTTAAAAGGCCACTCTCTCAAAGCCATCTCTAACAGGATTTCTGCCAATATCTGTTCCTTGCAAACAGTAAGGAGACTTAAAAACAGCAACAGCACCTCCATGAGCCTCCCTCAGCCCTTTCTTTACAAGTTCTTTCCTTTAATCAAGGGAAATTGGCATACTATATTATGTCAGAGTTGGCGCTCACATAGATACAAATGGGAAGTAAAGAACTCCTGGCTGTCCTGGTGCCAGGTGTTCGCTAATTGTAAAACTGAATAATGGATAATAACCCATCTTAGTGTGTTTATCAATGCAGTTCGCTCTCCACGATGCAGAAGAGGTCACTGGAGACAATGTGTAGGCCTCTCATCTCTCCTATTCATTAACAAGGCACTGCTGGCTGGAATACAGGTTCCATTACCTAGATGCAACAATGATGGGGCCCTGAATCAAATTGTAATTAGGTTTGTTCAGGGCTAGGGTACAGTTATTATAATCAGAATCACTCAGAATTCATTTTAGACTTGTGAAGGGATATGAGGTGAGATTGATTTAATGGTAACCAAAGCAACCCCCTTTTCTATAACTCTCTGAGTTTATAAAAAAGCAAAACGAGAAAGGGAAAAATGGAGGGCAAAGGAAAACAGAGATGAGCATTTTAGTTCTATTAATTTTATTGTAACTAGTTAGGAGAGAATGCGTTACAATAAGAGCAAATGTGTGATAGCAAGATGATCACTGTCTGGGTCCTAGAAGCTGCTGTGGTCTCATTACCCACCTACAGCACATCCTGGGATGCTTAATTTCCTCTCCCTTTTTGTTCATTTCATGTATGTTTGGAAACAGCCTGATTAGGACAAGAATTTCAATTTGCAGGAAAAAGAAGAGAAAATTCAAGCTGAGTAATATTTCCTTTCTCTAGTAAGAATCAGTTATTCAGCCTTTTACCTTTGGCCCTTTGTATATGTCTCAGATCTAATGACCACTGGCTTCTATGAGAGCAAATGGAAGGTTTTGGAGACCTGTTTGTAAAATGGTTTAAGAAGTTACAGAGGTGTGGGTGATGTGGTATCTAATTCCTCACTACTACGTGGTTATTAAATTTTTTTCAGGTTAGCCAGGTGCTGTTCTGGGACTAGAATCTCACCTTATTTGAAATAATTAGTGAAATGTGTAAATATGCATACATTTATGTACACTATGAAGATATTGGTACGCCTGATTTGCTCTATTGATGTGTGCTTGACCTCTAATATTTAGATGCCATAAATTAAATATTTGTTCTTTCTTTCCCCCTCCCCAGGTAGATTTAGAAATATATAAATATATACTAATGTTAATATATAATAAATATATGAATATATATATATATATATATAAAATATCTTCCTCATGAGTAGAAATATCAGTCATTTTGAAGATAGGATACTTTAAAAATATGTAGGCAATTACTTAACAGGGAGAGGGTTTTTTTTTTGCTTAAATACATCTCAATTATTTTGTGGATAAGCAAATGGCATGAAAATATTTCTAGTTATTTAATTGAGTAGGAAGTATTGAAACAAAGCATAAAGCATATCGCTTCCAGATTTTAAAAAATAAACACTTTAGCTCTTTTTTTTTGCTTGGACACAACCTCTTGGCTACTCAAATAGTGAAACTATACTCAACTAAGAAAAGGTATGGCGGTGATCGAGGTGCACATTCTTGTGTATCTGACTACCTAGAAATTTCATGTGTAAACTTAGATTTTATGTCGCATGATAATCAGGATGTCTGAAGTTTGAAAAAAGCATCAAATTTAGCTAAAATTGATTTTACTTCTTTTGGAGCTGGAGATTTTACAAAACTTCAAAAATAGACTTCAAATTTATTGCTTTGCTGTTTTTCTTTTTCTTCTTGTTTGTTTGGGTCAAAGACAATATGAGTAAATGAATGTGAAATTGTGGAGATGGAATTAAGACAGGAAGTGGGAGGGTGACTCTAACAGCAATCTTCATGCTGTAGTTTTATAGATCTTTTTGATTTTTCTCCCATTATTCTAGTATAGAAAGAGTATATGGAACAAATAGTGGGGACATTAAAGCTTAAATGGACTCAGATAGATGGACATCTCATGTTGTATTTTGAAAAGTAGTGACCAAGGTATGTGTACTGAAAGGCATACCCGGCCTGATACTGCTGGTCTTAGAAAGGCCTATTTGCAAGGGTGGTCCTTGACTGGTGGTGACTGGTCGTGACTGGTCCTTACTGAACTGGGTCAGTAAAAACTTCCCTACACTGATACAACACTTTCCCTAAATGATAAGATTGACCTGCTATACAAACAATGTGGTTTATGCTAGATAACTGCCTTCCTTCTGGGAACATGAAATGTCAGGGACTGCAGTTAGTCATATGGATCTTATGTGCCTGTGTGACCAACCTTTTAGGCTCAGGTATGTGTTCCTGGTAGACAGTGCATGCCACAGGGAGTTGCTGGAAGAAATAAGCATGTGCAATGCCACCAGGAGACGGTTCTTAGAAGCTTGCTCCTGGTTTCCTCTAGACTTCATCCATGAGACTTTTCCCTTTGCTGATTTTGCTGTAATAAATCTTAGCCATGAGTACAAATATATGCTGGGTCCTGTGAGTCCTTTAAGCAAGTCATTGAACTTGGGGGTGGCCTTGGGAACCCTGACACAGTAGGAATGTAGGTTCTGAGTAGTTTAATTATTAACTCTGTCCACATCCCTCAAAGCAGATGTCTCAGTAAAATATTTAAAATTCTTATTCCCAGGGGTACTGCTCAATTTGGAGAGGAAGGATTTGACTGAAGGCTCTGAACAAGCAGGCCAGGGGATTTTTTTTTTTTTTTCTGAGAGGGAGTCTTACTCTGTCACCCAGGCTGGAGTGCAGTGGCATGATCTCAGCTCACTGCAACCTCTGCTTCCCAGGTTCAAGCAATTCTCCTGCCTTAGCCTCCCAAGTAGCTGGGATTACAAGTGACTGCCACCATGCCCGACTAATTTTTGTATTTTTATTAGAGACGGGACTTCACCATATTGGCCAGGCTGGTCTTGAACTCCTGACCTCAGGTGATCTGCCTGCCCTGGCCTCTCAAAGTGCCGGGATAACAGGGGTGAGCCACCGTGCCCAGCCGCCAGGGGAATTTATACGTACCAGGCTCTCTAAGGGAGTAAGAGCAGATATGAATATGTGTGTGTTGAGGGAAAGGTGCTTGGAAAACCCTAAGTAAGGTTCTACTCTCTAACCTCTTCTGTCACCTCCTCATTCAACTATTAACTACCAAGCCCCCAAATCATAAATAGCTTATTATGTTCCCTCTTTGGATTGGAAGAACAGGACTTGTTACTTAGGAGAGATATGTCAATGAAATGGGGGATGTCAAGAACAGGGGCTGATTCTCTCTGACAAGAGTCTAGGTTCTAATGCTCCATGCCAAACCAGAAATCCGTCTGAAACAGAAGGAATTCCCCTATGGAAATAGGACATGTCCCCACATAGGCAGAAAAAGGCCTGGGACTGTATATCAAATTGAATGTTGGACGAGAGAAAATAATTCAGATCCTTCAAAAAATGTTGCACATAAACACAGCTGGCCATTCACCTCCACTCCCAGAAGAGCGGGTAACAGAAACATGGACACAGTCTCCTCAAACTCTAGCTCAGAAGTGAACCACAATGTGGCCTCCAATACAATGGTAAGAGAGTCAATGAGAATTCTCTCACACCACATCAGAGCAAGCAATGGGCAAACATACCATGCTCCCTCCAAAATAAGAGAGGAAGAAAGGAATATAACATTGAAAACACAGAGAATCCAGTTTGTAAGAAACCGTAACTCACAGAATAGAGAGCTTTATTCAATAAAAGAACTTAATAAGATCACAAATTCCACAAAACCAGAACTTGGAAATGAGATCATGGAACGCCAGAACAGGAAGAAGAAAAGTGATGGAAAATCTAAAGAAGCAAACTGAAGAACAAATCAATACTATTATAGACCTGACACTTCTTTCTGATGTATCGGGGAATGGAACAGATATGGCAGTAAACTGAATTACTGACAGAAAACCAGCCTGAAATAATCACAGTGCTTGCAGAGGAAAACAAGAGTGAAACATTTAGGAGAAATTAGATACATATAGAAAGCAGACAAAGAAAATCAAACATGTAAGAATAATCGGTGGTCTTAGAAGACACAGCCCAACAAATGAAGTGTGCAAACTCCTTAAAGATATAAGAAGAAAGTTTACTGAACAAGGTTCAAATAAAAATGGCTACAGAGTGTCCGACATTCAACTATGTCTTAGTTACCTGCTTCAAGAATGGAGAGGAAATTGCTCCTGCATCCGGGTAAAAAATGCAAGTCATTTACAACGAAGAGAAAAATCAGGCCAGAGATGTCTGCACAGCAACACGACATTCCAGAAAAAAAATCTGTTGTAATATCTAAGAAAGAATGTGAACCTCCAAAATGTTATACTGAGGCAAGTTTTCATTCAAGTGTAATGGCCAAAGATTTTTTCAGAGATAAAAAACCGAGTCCTACTTGAAAAAGTATGTGATGAGGAAATCTAGCTATTGAAGATGTAAATATGGGAACCCAGCAAAAAGAACAGCCATAGTGAAGGGCCTGGTGAACTTGGAATCCGTTTAATCACAGAACTCACCTTAAACAAATATGGGAATTATGGTTATAGAGGTGGACATAAATGTTATAATCTTGATCATAGAGAAATAGTCTCAAACAAAAATTGAGAAATGGGAAGTGTAAGAGTAATCATTTTTTTAACACTCATTGCCGAGGCAATTGGTATTTTCTATGGGATTCACTTTTTTTTAAAAAAAATGAAGCTTCTAATGTATTAGAGTTTTTTTGTGTTTTTTTCCCTTTAAGCTTTTAGTAAATAATTTTCCTTTTGGTTAAAAATATCTCCTTCAGTTTTAACTTAATTTTTTTCCTGTTTAATTGAAGAAAATT